TTCCGAGTTATAAAGTAACAGCCAGCCGACTACAAGTTGGAGTATAGCAGCCGTCGCGGTAAGAAGATCCGGACGTGTGTGCGATTGTGTAATTGGGAGCGTGTGATACAGTGATACAAAGCTCCCCTACGGTAAACGTGTAGACTACTGAAGACAGAGTGAACTGATTTGCGCATAGGGTTATAAGTCGTGAAACCCCGCAACAGTGTCGACAGATTAATGCGCTTAGGGTTATAAAGTGTGAAACCCCGCAACTGTGATAAGTAATTGTAGCCGTTAGTTGTAGATTGTTAAATAAACCCAATTAACCATCTCTACGGCGTCTTCTATAACGAAACACGTTACAATAACAAATGGTGATCCCTCTCTGTTGAGTTCTCAATAGGTGTTACAGTAGCACAATTTTAACCTCTCAGTGATGCAGGACATTTAATTCTTACTCACTCCTTGGGACAGAGGATATTTAAACATTTAAAATGGTAAAGGCTAGCTTGCTGTGCACAGACTATGGCACTGAAGGGTTAAATTAGCTTCACTTGTACTGGTTATCAGTGTTAGCAGTATTTACATGGTGGATATCTTGAAATAAAAAATTGCTTTGTGTCCCTGGGGGGGACTAAGAAAATGTACATATATCTTCCACTTGTCAGGGAGTTAGATAATATCTTCAGTTATGTTCCCAAATATATATGGTAGGTGTTAGGAAGAGATAGTGGAAATATGAAGTAGTTTCAGTTTTGGATACAGGGCCCAGTTAGTGTTGATATCAAGCTATGAAGCCAGAGGGAACTCTAAATGATGCCAGATGTGGAGAATTCTGTATATGGCAAACCCCTGTTATGCATTTTCCAAGCATCTGGAATTCTCATCTGACTAGTGCAGTTTTCAAAGAAAAGTTCACATTTTTGTAAAGTTACTCTATAGCATATTTTGTGATGTGTTTATTTTTACCTGCCAGCTTCCACTAGTAGCTCTGTGGTCCAGTGGTCAGATTTCCTGGCTACAGATCCAGAGGTCCGGGTTCGATTCCTGGCATTACCAGATTTTCTGAGAAGTAGTGAATCTGGAACAGAGTCCACTCAGTCTCGGGAAGATAATTGAGGAGCTATTACAAGGAAATAGTGGCTCCAGTGTAGAAAACCAAGATTAACGGCCGTGGGGATCTGTTGCACTGACCACGCAACACCTTCTATCTGTAAAAGTTGGCACTAACTTTACCGACAAGTGGCGGTCGCTCAGTCAGTATAGTTTGATTGCGGACTGCATGACACGAGTTTTAGTTTAGTTAACTGCCACTAGCAGAGCTACCTGTCATCCTACAGGCACTATTACAATAGAGGCTATTTAAATTTGTGATTTTGTTGTAATATATGTCCCACACCATTCACACATCAATCTGAGATGTTGCCTAGGAAGACTCATGCAGGGAATGGAGCAAAAACTTGTTCTTTTGAATTTGTACTTATTTTCTCTTAAGACTTCTTCTCATGTGTCTGATAGATTCATGTAACCCCATAGATAATGGGAAATTTACTGTAATGTATTTTAGTATGTGTGTTACAGGGGTTGATGGTGGTTGGATTTGATGTGTGTCATGAACCCGGAAGCAAAACCACATCATATGGAGCCTTTGTTGCTTCGCTGGATAAGGCAATGAGCCGTTACTTCTCAGCTGTGTCTGCCCACTCCTCAGGAGAGGAAGTGAGCAATAACATAACAGCACACATGGCCAGTAAGTCACCTGTTGACAAATCCTAATGTCTTTGATATCTGTAACTGTATTACTGAACTCAAGATATTTGCTTCTTCCACTTGGCTGTCCTCTGATTTGGCCATGGGTGTTGGTACTATATTAGCATGACGCACAGAAACCTGCAGNGCCCCAAATGATAGGTGAGGGTGATTGTGGAGCAATTGATGGAATGAAGATTGGCAGGGGAAACCAAAGTACTCGGAGAAAACCTGCCCCAGCGCCACTTTGTTCACCACAAATCCCACTTTACCAGACCTGGGATCAAACCTGGGCCGCTGCGGTGGGAAGCCAGCGACTAACCTCTTGAGCCATGGCGCGGCCAATGTATTATAGTAGTAATACAGTTGAAACCCTGTATAATGAATCTATGGGGAATGATTTCTTACAGTACATTAATTTTTTGCTAAAACTAGGTTAGGCAAAATTGCACCAATAAATCTTTATCATCATACAAGATATACTGGATATTATTATGATAAAATAATTTTTTACATTGAAAGACACTGTTTCTGCAGAAATAAATACAGTTACATAATCAGCACCATAAGACTAATTTCTGAAATAATTGATGAAATATGAAATAAACACTGAAGGAACCTCAGATGAGAATCAGTAACTATGTGCCAAAAGTGACTTGACTACAATGTATGCTCACTGTGTGATTATCACTCACCAAAGATATGGTTGTGTGGTAGCGGTTTCTGACAGAGAGAACGTGTGAATATAGATTGTCATTTGACCGTAGTTGCGCAAAATTGAGGTCTGACTTAACGATATCAAGACAGTTCCACCAACTACTTATACCTGTTGATCATCTATTGATGCTGTACGTTCAGTGGCCAATAGCTGGGCACATTTCAGGCTAATACTTTAAAGTGGGCTACTGCTTGCTTCCATATTCTACCCCAGTTCATGATTTATATTCCATCATTTGATGCTATAGAAATCTATGACATAATAAAATAGGCATTGTTTAATGAACAGGAACTGAGGTACATAATCCTCAACATATTATGTTAACACTTTGTGGACCGGCAATTTAAATTTTTAAATCACCCTGGGGACCGGCATTTTTATACCTGCTACCCTAATTTGTGCACTGTTCACTTTAAAAATTAATATAAAATCTCCTAATTAATTCTGTGAACTAAAATTTTTGGAGAACACTTACTAATGCTCCTAGAAGTGCTTGAGAGTGTGATATTTCTGGAAACATTCCCCTTTGTGAAGTGGCATTACACACTTGCAAATGTAGACAGTCATAGTCCTTTATTTGTGAACTGTGCAAACAAGGCATTGCCTAGAAGGATGCTTCCCCTTGGAATGTTCACTCTTCACAATTTTCACAAGGGTATGTTTCCACATATCACCCGAGAGTCGCCCAGGGGGGTCAAAATGAGGCCTGCATGGGGTGGGAGTAGACAGGCCCGGTCGCACTAAGACTGTGTCTGCCGCCACCGTGTGGTCTGTAGCCCAGGCTTTTGCCACATTCAGCAGAAATGCCTTGTATTTCAATTTTGAATGAGGGTTTAGTTTTTTGAAAACCAAAAATTAATTGAAAATGGCACAATTTATAGGCCACAAGGCAACTTTCTTTGTCCACTATACTGTTTTCCGAGGAAGAGAATAATAGGCCAAGTACTGATCGGCTCTATCAACTCCCTTCATGAACGTATTATACTCGGAAACACAAACAGGCTTCTTTACCTGTCCATGCCCCTTTTGAACATCAACCATGCTTGAATTGTGAATTGTGGAAATCATGTTCACAACACGAGTATCCCTCCAGGACTGAAGAAGAATATCCCACTTCCTCCTGAATGTGGTTTCACCACGTTTCGGGGATTTACATTCCTCTTTCTGATCTGGAGGAAGGCCTCTGTTAACCCTAATTGTTCCACAAACACGTACTTTTCTGGAAAGTAGGTGCTCTGCAGTTGCCACACTGTTATAATAATTGTCTTGATAGACATGGTAATTTTGATCAAGATAGGGTTCCAAAATGGAAAGAATAGTTTCTTGTAATTTCTTTCCTTCACCAGAATAAAATTATAAATTTCCAATACAGCCTGAAGTGCTTTCAGTAACTACATGAACAGGTAGGCCATACTTTGTAAGTTTCCCAGGATTATATGTTCGCATATTGCACTACTCACTGACAGCTTGCTACGTACAGCTTGAAGAAATAAAGGCATTTATTTTCATTTTAAGGGGCATACAGCTACAGCAAGGTCACATAACTGATTAGTCAGCAAACATTCCAGAAGCTTATCACGCAGCGGTAGGCAGCTACGTGCAAGCTGGGTGGCGTCAGATCAATGTATAGTGTGTTGCAACGTAGCATGTTCTAAAAACGTATTAATACGTGACCGGTCCACCATGTTTAAAAGCTAAAAACGTATTAGTTAGTTAGTTATTGGAGAGGGTGGGTTTCCCCATGCACTGAGACCTGTATTGGTCCATTGTGCTTCCCTCTATGATTTCTACCAGTCTCTATATCCTACCGGTACTGGTGCTTACCATCAGTCCCGCCCAGCCAGCGAGACCGGCTCTACTAGCTGAGAGGTATCTGTAATGCTTCCCCCATCTACCAGAGGTATTAGAGACTGCTGTTGGACAGGAAACATCCGTTAATTTGGCTCAGTGACCTCCTTTGGAGATATGAGGTTCTTTTACGTGCCGTAAAGCTACGACATGGGACCCACGGCTTAAAGTCCCTCCCGGAGGAGTTGTTCCCTGAATTTTTCCGCCCTTAAAAATTCGATGACCTCCGCCGAGTATTTGAACCCGCGTAAAAAAAACGTATTAATGTGTGCACGGTCCATAAAGTGTTAAAAGGTGTTTATAATTCATTATTATTAGAGCATAACATTTGTGATGTATTGGTTTAGTAAACTCAGTAACCAGGGCACCAAATGTGCACTGTATTTAAATTTCAGCAGAGTTGACATTTTACTTTGTGTATAGATTTTCAAATTTTCTTAACCTAATGAAGAAATGAATGCGTTATTTTGCAGCTGCCCTTCACAAGTACAAGGAGTACAATAATGGAGCCCTTCCCCAGCGAATTGTGATATATAGGGATGGAGTAGGTGAGGGTGATATCCGTTATGTGTACGAGTATGAGGTAGAACTCTTGAAGAAGGAGTTAAACCATATGTATGGCGGCCAACCATTCAAAATGGCGTTCATTATTGTAACAAAGAGAATTAATACCAGATTGTTCCTAAGAGACGACAACCCTCCTCCAGGCACTGTTGCTGATCAGTGCATCACTTTGCCTGAAAGGTAAGTTCTCCTTTTACCTGTAACATATAGTAATGCCATTTACATCTGGCACACTGTCTTTCATGACTTATGATAGCTTATTCCTAAGGCCATGCTGAGTCAGATATGGCCTCTGCTTATCAGCAAAGTTAGTGCCAACTTTTGCGGAAAGAGGGTATCGCGTGGTCAGCGCAATGAATACCCATGTCCATTAATCTCGGTTTTCTAGACTGGAGCCAGTAAATCCTTGAAATAGCTCCTCAGTTATCCTCATGAGGCTGAGTGAACCCTGTTCCAGACCCACTACTTCACAGGAAATGTAGCGCCGGGAATCGAACCCGGGACCTCTGGATCTTTAGCCAGGAACTCTGACCACTAGACCACAGAGGTGGTCAGCTATTGGTTTTTGATGTTTCAAAAATGATTTACACATTGTACAGTTAATACAAGCTAATAAAAGCATTGCTGAGTAACCATGGATATAGGTATGGACTGATTGAATGAAGATTGACATTGCTTCTTTTTGAAAATTTTCTAATGTGGATGAGAAAGTTGGGAAATTAGAACTTTGTGCTCTTTTCTTTCCTGCAGATATGACTTCTTCCTTGTGTCACAGTCAGTTCGCCAGGGCACTGTAAGTCCAACATCATACAATGTCATCAGTGATAATGTTGGACTTGACCCTGATAAGCTTCAGAGGCTCACATACAAACTTACGCATCTTTACTTCAACTGGAGTGTAAGTATTGCAGCTTAAGTCAAGATATAGTGATAGGAATATCTTGCTTTGTACACCTTGTTCATGCCATATACTCTCCCATGTGTGTAGAAGGACTGGTAGAAATTCTTCATCCTCCATAGGGAGTAGGTATTGAAGTTCAGTCAGATTCAAGGAACTCTTCGGGACCATTCAGAAATAGAATTCCCCATATTATGGTTCAGATGCAGTGTTGGGGAATCTGGTGAATGGGATTCATCAGAACTAGTAGACCATTTTTATTCTGTGGAGAGAGTCCCAACATTTTTAACTCTAAGGAACTGGGCACTTTGCTCCAGGACCCTTGCTCAGCATCTTGAAGTCACTGAAACATGTGATAGACTCCCCTTTTGCAAGACATGGTGTTCAGTTGCTGACCAAGAGTGAAAATGTTACTTGCTAGGTTTCGGGCTTTGATAATGGAACTCTTCTGCTAGCTGGCAGTCTCTGTGTATATCAGTTTGTCGTGGACTGACAAAGTGTGCGGGCACACACCGTTTATTGACTTGTGTGTTTATGTGATAGTGTGGGATTAATACCCGACATTACCTAGCACTAGACTCCTGTGACATTTCCAATATTCTGACTGTTAGGCATCATGTCACAATATTGTAAATGAATAATTATGCATAAGTGTTGCTGTATGGGCACACTGATTGAAATTCCCTCACCCTCAAGATAGTTTTTACAGCACAATATTGTGACATGTTGCGCAAAGCCGAGCCCCCCCACACCAGCAGTGACGCGGCCAGTGAGTCAGCGCTCCCCTCCCACCCCCCAGCGGTAACGTAACGCTCGCGTAACAGGCGAGACATCACCCCGCC